ATTAATTTTTTGGGAGACCCCACTCCCAAATTCTGGGAGACCCCACTCCCAGAATCTGGGAGTCATCACTCCCAGATTCTGGGAGTGGGGTCTCCCAGAATTTGGGACTCCGAGCGTTAAATATGTCTCTTCTGAATGAGAAACACTCTTGTGAGCGAACCCCCCTGTTTCTCTTGTGAGCGAAGGAGACATCATGGCAATGGCAGCTTCAAGTTCACTTTTGTGACTTGTGACCCTCTGAACGTCAGCATTCACAGCCTTGCCGGTTTGCAACGTATCTTTTCCAGTTTGGCGCAAAAGATCGTCTTCGCGAGGAATGCGAACCCGCCTGCAAAACAGAGAAGACCCCACAAGAGATTTTGGGGGGGTTAGGCCGTAAAAAAAGGGGAAAGAGAGGAAAAAAGAGAGAAAGAAGTACCAATTTGACAGAAAGTTAGAAAACGATGGATTCCAGATTCTCATACGTCAGCAGCCAAAAGACTTAGAGAAAAGAGGGGGTATGCAGTCATTGACTCTATCCGTTAATAAAAAGGTGGTTTGTCCCCTTTCGAAGGTCGGCTTGCTTGTTAAAAGACATCTAAAAGACATCCTATGCGACTCTCAACTGACCTCATCAGTTTTAAACCAGCGACCAACTGTCAAAATCGCAGAAGCGGCAGTTCAAACTGGTCACTTTTTCTATTGTGTTGTTTTTTAAACGCATTTTGTTATTTTTTAACAGCTAATCCTAAATTGTTGGACCTCGACAATGAGCATCATGCGGCGGTCTTCCTTTCTTTCTTGGATATGAATTTTGCCATGCTCTGAACCGCTCACAGCAAAAGTAAGATGATGTCGGTGTGGTAAACATAGCCGGAAATTGATACCAAGGAGTGAACGGCATCATTGGATTTGGCATTGGCATCGGCATCATCCACTGTTGTTGCATTGGTGCACCGACTTGTTGTTGTTGCTGGTGCTGGATCGCTGTTATCGGAGGAGGAATCGCTTGTGCGGCTGGTTGTTCTGGGAGAGTAGCCGTTGCTGGTGACGGTGGGGCTGCTGGCTCCCTTACTGGTTCATCGTTTGAATCGCCATTTTCAATTTGGTGCACCTGTTGCGAGTGACCACAACTGACACACAAACAGCGCTCCTCCACATCATAGGTTGGCTGCTTTTCGTTCATCCACTGTATGTACTCCGAGAAGAACCGCTCACCTGTGTCCTCTCCCAATGGCTCCACACTCAAGAAAGGGACCTCCTTCCAGTTAACACCAGCATCGGTTGCTAGTTTGTTGACCCAAGCCAGCTCGGAATGATTGAAAAAGGCAACCACACCCTCCCATCCAGATGGCATAATTTTTCGCTTGTCCACAGCTGACTGGCTACGATCAAAGGAAGCGCGCGCAATGGCAAGTTTGTTGCGTACACCGAGATTGTATCTTGCTGTTCCAGTTAAGTTGAGGTTGTCCGCCAAGCTACTCCTCATCCCACAATTGCCGAAGTGTGCAAGCAAGAGATGAAATGACTCAAGACTTGATTCACCTCGACGTGAGAGATATTCCTTCAACCCATGTGCCGAGTTGGGATTTGGTAAGATGACTTCATACATTTGCTCCAAAGGAAGTGGGTCTTGCAAGAACTCAGCCTTTTCTTTGCAATTTTCCCATGCAGTCTTTGTTTCAGAGGTGAATAATGGCTGCTGTGTCCTTGGATCGACTCTTCCTTGTGGTTGTCTGCCGGATAATCCGGCATTTGACGTGGTACATTTGAATCGATGAAACCAATCTTCGAGGTAACATCTCAACGATTCTGGTTGCCGGATCTGCTTCCGTAAGTACTTATTATATCGCTGCCGGAAGGTGTGAGTTGTTTTCATTTCCCTTATCTCATCGTCAGTGTACTTGGTTCCATTGACGGTTCCAGCTTTGAGTGCACGCAACAGGTTCTCGTAATCACCGTGATGGTAAATATAGATGGCATTCAAGAGGGCACTCACAGAAAGTAAGTAGTCAATGTGATTCTTCCGAAGAGTGCGAAGAATCCTTTGAATGAAATGGAACAGCCCTAATCTTCCTTGAATTTCTTTTCCTAGGAGCATGGACCAGTATCGATTCTTGCACGGCCAAGTATCTGAATACATCACCTTTGGTTGGAAGGTCTCTCGATTTGCTAATTGGTTCGCAGCATGGGAAAAGTGGATGGTCTTTGTTGATGGAACCAGTACGGCTGCAGCAACCTCACCGGATTCTGTCGAACAGGTCCACATTGCCTCTGCTCCGAGTTTCTTTTTGTGAAAGTAATTCTTGGTGACTTCATGCGTGTGGTCCTGAGCGAAGATCAACTTGCACTTCACGGACTGAATCTCCCTTGTGTGTCGATCATGGTCGCTAATTCCCCAGTGGTTGTATCTGTTGTTGCAAGCATCATCATAGGTGTCTCTGATGCTATCTCCCAGCGGTGGAAATGACCGGATGAATTCTCCATTCTTTTCCAAGTACTTGACTGGTTCTTCCGTGTCACTCGAATTGATTTGTTGTTTTACAGTTGCCAAATAAGAGTAATAACTTGACACTTTTTCCATGTATGATCGATTGATAGCTTGATACAACAATCGACTGCAGAGTTCCCCATTGCCGTACGTAGGAAGGATCATATCGAAGATGTCTGTTGCGCTGCGTCCCAAATGACTGTTTTTCCGTGCGAGTGCATACCTGCAGTCAACTGGATAAGCTGCGGCAGCATATGCCGGAAGATTCGAAAGGATAATACTCTCGTTTGCTTTGAATCGAGCATTACAAGAAGGGCACTTCATAGACTGTATCATACACCACATGGGCGGCCCATCCAACACAAAGATTGGAAAGAGGATTTTGTTGTGGGAGAAGTTAGTTCGTGTATTTGCGAGCACTCCTCGATTGCAACAAGGACAAGTAATCTCCAAACCAAACATAGTTTGCCAGTCCACGAGCAGCAATTTCTGGCCAATAATGCTATGATAGAATGGATCAATACAGTCCTTAGAAATTGGCACTGTCATTGTCAAACCCTGAAAGTAAGATGGGATAAGTGATCCACGGTTTGGCCTGATTATCTTTTCCACCACAGTTCCAGCTAGAGCGACCATCGCTAGTGGAGCTGTGTTGTTGCCATGCTGCTCCCAAAAGGGTGGGCTATTGAGCTTGTCAGTTACTGCTTTGCATAAATCAATTGTTGTGGTGGTGTCAGATGACACAGAATCCGCAGATGGCGGTGCTGTTTTGGCTGATGCTTTCGCCTTTTTCCTTGGGTTAAAGAATGCTCTTCCACCATTTAAATGAGTTGCACTGTAAAGAATTGGAGTGGAGAAGTGTCTCCTCAAGCGTTTTTCCTCTGCCATCGCTGTGAGAGTGGCTTCGCTCGTAATACCGCGGGTGCGCCGATTGTTTGTGCAGAGTTTATGATGTGCACGATGAGGCTCTCGCAAACCATATGATCTTGCCTTGCACACGTCACAATCCCTAATAGATTCGAAAGCCCTATCGCCGAACAGAGTAAGCTGGTCACCTTCGCCCTTTCTCTTCTTCCGTCCTCCTGTGTTTAGTTGTTGCAATCGGTGAGTTCTTGTTTCTTGCGACACACGTCGTTGGCTTTGTTGACCCATGTCATCTTCTTCTATGGCCGCTGTGGCTGCTGCTGCCGCCGCTGTTGCTTCTGTCATTCTGCTGTTGTGGTTGTTATCTTCTTTGCAATGACTGGTTGCGATCTAATGTCATTGTCATGGAATCCTTCCAGTAGAAGGGATGTTTTGGACAAAACTGTTGTGTTGTATTGTAATACTGCAAGAGAAATGGCGCGATTTTGTTGAGATGACGTCTAAGTTGACATCACGAAACATGCTAGTGCTTATATCTGCAATGTCTTTGCAATGTCTTTAACTTGGTACGCGCCACTCTCGACCAATCATATCACTGCCTACTTTCCCATTTCGCCCCCACTGAGAACAGGGTCATCCAATCCATCGACTTTGTTGGAGGATCACAAAACCATAACCAAAAGCTTCAAAGAACTATTTCATTAGACCAAGCAAAGCAACAACAAATCCAACCAAGATGCCCGAGAAACGCCCCAAGAGAATCACCATGCCTGGCATGATCTATGATGTAAGAGAGGATGCTTGTTGGTCTGAATGAAGAAACCTGAATCGAATCCTAATCGTTGGGTGGTTCTTTTTTTGTTTGTTTGTGACCCTCACTCACTCCTTGTCAATTTCTCTGTTATTACTGCACTGTTCATTAGGCCAACGAAGTGTTGGGATGGGCCATGGACCCCAACACGGGAGGACTCCATCCCGAACTATTCGGTCCTTCGTTGCTGGGCATTGCCTTTATCACCATTGTCGAAGCCGGATTTGTCTTTAGTGGAAATGTCGGCACGGGCATTGTCATGGCCCGCAATACGAAGGACGGAAGTTGGAGTCCCCCATCCGCGTTGGGAGTCTCTGGCATTGGCTGGGGATTCATCATGGGCGCCAGTGTCAAGAATATCGTCTATCTCATTTACGATTCCCAAACGCTCAAATCCTTTTCCGGAGATGTCGGTGTCAAAGTCGGAACACAGGTCGAAGCTACCATTGCCAATTGGGGACGCACGGCCGAAGCCACCACTATGATTACCAACAAGGGCGTCGGTGTCGATATTTGTTTGAGTTATTCTCGTGGAATCTTTGGTGGATTGAGTATCGAAGGCGCATTGTTGAATCCCCGTCCCAAAGTCAATGAAAAATTCTATGGACAAGAAGTCACACCCAAGGAAATTTTGTTTGATGGAAAAGCCACGTTGCCCGATGGTACCCTCATGCCCGAAGTCTATGCCAAATTAAAGGCACTCTGTAGTGGAGAAGGCATTTACGAACTCACCGAGGCCGAAAAGAAAAAGGCAGCGTCGGTACGAGAAGCCGCTGAAAAGGAGGGAGAAGAACATGTCAAGGAAGAAAAAGTCGAATATGTCAAGGTCGAAGAAGAAGCCAAGAAAGAGTAGGAACTTACATGACAACAACAACAATATACACACATAGTTAGATGGTGCGACGGCCGTTGTAGTCGTCTTTGACGTACGGTTTGCAACTGGCTAGCTCGGTGCGGGCTCAGAGTGTATGGGACCCCGTGCTTTTCTCGTGTAGATCTGGCAATATCGTGTTAAAGGCATCTTTACAGCCGTCTACTGTTTTCATCATGTTCGGACCAGGTGTTTGTTCGTAGACTAGTGCAGGAAAGGGAGTCGGAAAGCACGTAGAGGGAGGGAAAATAGAGAAAGGCATGGATGGATGCCACTGGAGGGAGACGGCATGCAACTGCTTTTGCTTCGATGGGTGGGGGAGTATCGATTATTGGTTGGCTCCCGGTACCGGCACATCATGTTTACTTATTCGCTAACTTAACGCGTGCTATGTTCTGATTAGCTATGACAAAAACAAATAACCGTGCCCACAAACACAGGACCTTGAGTTCCACATCACATCTATCTACACTCAATGCTTGGTACTGTTTGGAATGCCAGAAACTTTCCAAGGGGGATGCCCAAGCTCATCACTTTGGAGACTGACTGGTTGAGGAATCCTTCTTCTGCTGACAGGCCGATTCCATCAGGTTCTGGCAACACCAAGCAACATGGCCCCAGTGCTGTTCGTCTGAAGAAGAAGATGGGACCTGGACATTGGCCAAGCTCCCAACAACCTTCAGCTTACCATCTTCATAGCAGACATTCCATCCTGCATTGCCATGATGGGTCTTTTGACATTTGCTTGGCCGTTCATTGCGACGATTCCTGCAAGTTTGACAGTACCTACTTGGCCTTGTACTCGAACCAGAGAGATAGCGCATCTCAGTGTAGCAGGTATTGCAATCACAGTTCACAAGCTTTGATGGGCCCAAGCTGGCTGCATATTTGTCCCTGAGAATCCCAAGAACTATGAACTCCCGAGAAAATGAGCCACTCGGCAGATTTCGTAAAATGGACTCAAGGACAGTGACCCAGTCATACACTGAAAAGTTGCCCCAGGTCAAGTCTTTCTTATCTTGCTCTTTCTGGATTTGTTCCGCTCCACTCTTTTGCCTACCGGTACAGTAGTTGCACACAAAGTCATTGTCCGCATTGAATTCTCCTGCCGTTTGCAAGCCTTGCTTGTTGACAATGACACCAATTTGTTCACCCACAAGCTCACCAAAGGATTTCTCCACCAGCTTTGCTTCATCCTCCCACCCCACAGAAGTGGCAAAGGAAAAGTACTGATGCAATAGGCCTGCTGGTTCAGCCATCACCTCGACCTTTGGCTCCTTCCTGAAAGCATCAAGGGACTCCTCTTTGCAGGATGTATACTTGGTCCAAAAAGCCTGCTTGATAGCTCCCATGTCTTTATCAAGGACCTTGCTTGTCTCATGGAGTGCCATGAGTTGAGAGAAGGATTGTTTCTCTTCTTGAAAGGACTGGAGAGCAATGTCAACTTGGCTGTGCAGCAACTTGGTTTGAGTCTCATGGCCACCCACAGAAACAGATAGGGCACATAGGAATGTGTCAAACCCCGTGCCTTGTATCCCTTCATCGTCCTCCTCTGAACCTTCTACAACAAGATCATACAGGGCCTTGTATTTCTTGTCAACAGACATCCTCCTCCACTTGTTCCTATTCATTTCTTCACGGCCAATCTTCTCAATGATATCCTGGTCAAACTTCTTTCTGAACTCTTCAAACGGAAGGCTGGATGCAGCCCTGTAGAAATATGCCCTGATAGCTGATACCGGGATGACCACAGGATATAAATCAAATGTAGGTACTGAATGCTTTGCCCCCTTCTTGCCAGACAGTGTTGGGAGCTGCTTCAGTGCTTTCGCTCGACAGCCAACAGCAAACATGGATGCTATCTTTTCTTGGGATTCTTTGACAAGGAGTGCCTGCTCTGTATCATCCGGCTCGTCCACCTTGTTTAATAGAACAATAACTGGTAGGCTTTTCTGTTTAGTAAGATTCTCCTTGACAAGCCGAAGCAAGCCCACCTGCTCCTCCGTATTGACACCTTGCCTAGCATCCATCACAACCACCACACAATCAAAGGTCTTCCAGTTCTCCTCAACATAGTTCCTGTAGATGCTGTTGGTATCAGCCTCATTGGTCCCTGGGATGTCTACAACAACAATCGATGTTTTCTTGCGCATCTCACACAATGGATCACAGCCAACATTGAACCACTTCTCTTCAATTATCTGAGCTTCACGAAGCTTCATATTAGATTTTGAAATCTCCTGATGTACTTTTTCAGCAGCCTTGACGTCCTCATTGTGCCCAGCCACAGACCACTGATCAGACTCTTTTGTTGCCTCATTGGATGGGACAATGCGGAAGAAGTTGATCCCTGCAGTGGTTCGCCGCATGGAGACTTCTCCAAACTTGTCACCCAAGATGGCATTCAGCACTGTAGTTTTGCCAACACTCACATGGCCCAGGAGGGCTACTTTGATCTCAGACCAGGGGCCAAACTTCATTGTCTCCGTACTATAAAAATGGTGGACGAGCTCCGTATCTGTACATGTACCGGTAGCCAGCTAGCCAACCGAAAATTTCCCGCTGGTACAACATTTGCGTACCGTTACTTTTTCACGGGAAGCCGAATCGAATCGAGGAGCTTCCCCTCTGAATCTGTCACTACAAGAACCACACTGATAGCAACAAACACAACCAATCGGTCATACCTATACCATTACACTACCTATTAGCACCATTAGAAGCATTGAAACGAAGCGAAAGGACCTCAGGAAGCCTGTTTTCTGTTATCTTGTTGAAGAGTACTGTTTTACTATAGGATTCAACTCAACGTCATCACGGAAAACATACATCCTTTTTCCTCTCTCTACAACCTATTCAAGCCGACCCGGATCGATACCTCCTATCTCCTATCAAGCGCACCTCCTCTATCAAGCGACTATCAAAGCGGTCTTCTCCGGTTCAGACTAGAAAGCCATCCCAATTGAAATCCTACGAGATCGGGCGGGTTTTCTATTCTCGACCGCCGACGGCCAAGTTGGAAGAATTTGAACACAAGAAGAAGTCACCGGCTTTCAGTAGACTCAGCAGTGCAAGTTTCCTCCATACCCTGCAGTGAACTGACATTGCTCTTACTACCGACGGCCCAAGAAATCCCATTGTCGATCCTCTTTTTCGAACGATCGATCTTTTTCCTCAACAACCACAGGCTCGGTTAACCTTACCCCTAAGGCACCCGGTGACGTTGATTCGAATCGAATCCTCTGAATCGAATCGACCTTCCTGCACTACGCTAAAAGCTAGTGTAAAGATCTTTCGAGTGTTTTGAGTTTGAGAGAATGAAAGTTATGAGAGAGATTAGAAAGCTATGAAAACTAATCAACAAGAGAGATCATCATCAAGGGATCGTAGATCTGGCTTCCCGCGGGAGACTATGAAGTGTGATAGAGTAGGTCTCACGATCCTAAAACGGAACGCGGGAAGGTTTGTCTAGCCTGGATCTAGTAGCGTGGAAGTACTCCACGCGCTGGCTAAATATCTAGAGCGATTTCATCATCAACCTAGTATGACTAGCGCGGTCATGAGAACCCTGTCTCAAATGACTATTCACGAGAGACTCGTCAATGATCGAACTCAACCCTATCTGGATCGAGTCGCGAATAAGGCTAAGAGCCGTGTATTGCATTCGCCCCTGACAAGGGTCACAGAAGGCGCGACAGCAGTCGGACAAGGAGAACATATGATTTAAAGTGCGGGGCATCTCCACTCTCATGAGATTTGGATGTAGACATTGCGTCGCACGATGGCAATCCTACAAGGGATCAGGCCTTGTATGGTGTATATACCTTATGTTCCAAGTCTGGTAGACTGTGCCGCCGTTGGCGGTAGCATGTTGGAGCCGTACAGTGCCATTGTCATTGACTCGGTCTATAGTGTAAGGACCTTTGTACTTTGGCTGACCGTACTTGCGGTGCTGATACTGTTTGTATTGATGAGGGACACGCGTCGCGTTTTCCCTGTCGTTGTTTGTTGGATTAGTCGTTGGCGACGTTCCTAATGTACTTCCAGTTGGCTTCGAACCGGACGTTGTGAATCGCGTCACGATTGAACACGAGCTGTGCGGGCGTTGCGCGCAAGGTGTATGAATCGTGACATTCATTGCAAAGCGAACCGCCGTGAGGACTCCATCCCAGGATCCATTCACGAGGTCGACTTGGCACTTGATGTTTTGAACAGCGATCAAGTTACGTATGGTTTGATGAGCCACGCTCGACCATAGAGTTGGCTTGAGGTTACGCGTAGTGATGAACTTGCGACGAAGTCCATATTCATCCGGAGTGTCTTTTCGACTCTGCGCGGAACTCGCTCTATCATGATAACCTCAGCAGGGCCATGGATACCGGGTAAGCCAATTTGTTCTAGGACGATGGCTACTTCGTCTCTGCTGCCTTGGAGCAGATCTCTGCCATCTCGAACCATCCGGTTACGGTATCAATCATTGTCAAGCAATGAAGTGTGCAGGAATTCTTTTTCTTAGGATCCCCGACGTTTTAAGG